GGGGTGGAGCGAAACGCCTGACCCGGCGTGACCTCTCTACATAGGGCGCGTTGGACAAAAACGTTTGGACGAAAATTTGTCACGTGACTTTCTCTGTCACGCTGATGGGATCTCTGGGGCTATTGTTTTCGCCGTTTGCCTAGCTATAGAAATAGGCGGGCCACGTAGGTAAGGTTTTCGAACTGCGCTCTTCAGTGTTCTGTTGCTTTCGTGCGTTGCAGACGCGGCCGTCTTTTTTCGACGTAAACGGCCGGAATATGTCCATGCCAATTTTTCGGTAACAACCATTTTGTTTTTTCACCGGAGTTTGTGCAATTCTTGTGATGTGTTTGTTGGACACGCTTCGACAAAAACTGCTCTTCGCCGACGACGAGACGTCAGTTGAGAGGGCGCAACCTTCTTTCTCGAGTGTGTTTGTGGGGTGCCTGAGTTGAATTATGCATCTATCAAGGATTACATGATATCGCTCTTTTATTGGTAAGTACACTGCCAGCATGCTCCTGATTGTAGTTCTGCTTTCCTCTCAATCTCTGCGGTTTTTTGTGTGATGAGTTTGCTTGCATGAGGACAGTGTTAATTTTATTTTATTATTTGCTTTTCGTTTTACAGAGAAGTGAGATCTTTCTAAATATGTCGAGAATACACTTTGTGTAATGATAGTGGTTTAATAAACTTCTGGGACTGATCGAAAAAAATTTGTTTGTCCGTATATATGATTGGATATGCAACAAATGATATGCAACGTACACATACTTGCACGACTTTCGGCCAATACGGAGCAGACGCATCGTATAGTATTCACACAACATTGCGCGAACGCTAGGCCAGGGCAAAACAGCTGTACGGCAATACCTGCCGGATATCAAACGGTGGTGCAAAACTGGACAATTGAGCGATATTGGAACCGACTTTCGGCCGGCACTGGCACGATCCTGCAAAGTATTGCCGTGCTGCTTGGGAACGGATGTGATGACATCTTACCATCGTGTTTCCAACGCTTATTTAATTTATTTCTCTTCTGGGAAGCTTGAAAGAGCACTTCTGTGACACACCAGAGATATTCAAAACTTGGGCAGGCTCTCGGCTTTCTTTGCCACTTTTCGCACTTATTTGGCACTTCAGTGGGTAGCCAAAGAAGAGCCAAACTTCGACATGCCCCGAATTGCCAAATTAAGATATACTGCGGCAGTTATGGCTCAAGTCTGGCACTTGTTTTGGCAGAACTGTGGCGCACCAGAGTAAAGCCAAACTTGGCATGTCCGAAATACCCAAATTGGGCGTTGCATTGGCAGTTATAGCTCAAGTCTGGCACTTACTTTGGCACAACTGTGGTGGACCAGAGAAAAGCCAAACTTTGGCGTGTCTGAAACACCCAAATGAGGCGTTGCTCTGGCAGTTATGGCTGAAATATGGCACCAACTTTGGCGCTCCTCTGGCGCACGAGAACAATGCCAAACCTTGGCATGCACCAAGTTCCCAGATTAGGATTTACTATGGCAGTTATGGCTCAGGTATGGCACTACTTCGGCACTCCTGTGGCGGACCAGAGAAAAGCCAAACTTTAACATGTCCAGAATACTCTATTTGGGCGGTGCTCTGGCAGTTATGTCTCTAGTATGGCACCACTTCGGCACTCCTGCGGCGGACCAGAGAAAAGCCAAACTTCGGCACGTCCCATATACTCAAATTAGGTGTTGCTCTGCCAGTTATGGCTCTATAGTCGGTTACAAGTCAAGAAGGTAGGAGAAGCTCCTCCCACAAGTGTGATGCGCCCGTTTCAAATCTCTCCGCAGTCGAAAGAAGAGTTCACTGGGAACGCCCCTTGTTCCGCTTCAATGGATTCTAACTTGTCTCCGATCCCACTTTTTTAAGAAAGCGGCCTTTGTATTCATCGGAGAGGAAACCAAGCCCCTGAAAGCAGCCTTTGTATCCATCGGGGGGGAAGCTAATCCCCGAAAGTCGTATTTGTTTCCGTCGGTGGGGAGAACTCTAATCTCCCTCTCGTGGCTTCCACAATGCTAAGTCCAAGTCGAAAGATAAAGCAAATATGTACAGAAAGGCAACACCCTCCTCACGCGTTGGCCGCGGCGTCACGGAAACGGTGGGACTCTATTGGATGTGGAGGTAGCGGAGGGATATCTGATTTCCTTTGAGGGGCATTTGCCGCTACCTTCTTAACCTGCAACTGACTATAGTATGGCACTACTTCGGCAGTCCTGTGGCGGACCAGAGAAAAGCCAAGCTTTAACATGTCCAAAATACTGAAATTAGGCAGTGCTCTGGCAGTTATGTCTCTAGTATGGCACTACTTCGGCACTCCTGTGTCGGACCAGAGAAAAGCCAAACTTTGGCACGTCCCAAATACTCAAATTAGGTGTTGCTCTGCCAGTTATGGCTCTAGTATGGCACTACTTCGGCACTCCTGTGGCGGACCAGAGAAAAGTCAAACTTTAACATGTCCAAAATACTGAAATTAGGCAGTGCTCTGGCAGTTATGTCTCTAGTATGGCACTACTTCGGCACTCCTGTGGCGGACCAGAGAAAAGCCAAACTTTGGCACGTCCCAAATACCGAAATTAGGCCTTGCTTTGGCAGTTATGGCTGAAGTATGGCACCAACTTTGGCTCTCCTCTGGCGGACCAAAGAAACGCCAAATCTTGGCATGCCCCGAATTCCCAGATTAGGATTTACTATGGCAGTTATGGCTCAAATTTGGCACCAACATTGGCGCTCCTCTGGCGGGCCAGAGCAAAGCCAAACTTTGGCATGTCCGAAATACCCCAATTTGCCGTTGTTCTGGCAGTTATGGCTCAGGTATGGCACTACTTTGGCACTCCTGTGGCGGACCAGAGAAAAGCCAAACTTTAACATGTCCAAAATACTCAAATTAGGCGTTGCTCTGGCACAGAGCCGTATATGTAGAGAGTTTGGTCAATGGGAGGCACAGGGAGAGTCAGGGCGTGCGGCAGAGTTGGGAAAGGGGCTTGGCATGCTCTCTTGACCAACCAGAAGGCGAAAAGAATTCCCTAGTGGTGGAAGCGGCAAACAGTTCTGATCAAAAGTCTATGTTCGTATATGGTTTTAATAAGCCCGTAAGAGTGAAGTGTAGTAACCCTTCGTGGTTGCAAATAGGGTTCACGTGTTGTTTTGATCATGATCATGCAGAAAGATGTAAGAAACGAATGCGCCGCGCAACTCTGTTTTGCGCGGACAGACTGTGACCGTTCCGACTTCAAATTCCCGGCCCTGGGCGCTTGGTGTGCGGACCATGTCGATCGTTCCGCTAGTCGCACTCTTCCACCATCATTCTGGATTAACGTGATTGAAACAACACGTGTACCATACTTTCAGCCATTGAGAGTTACTCCAATGCAGTTATGAGGTTTGTTTATCGCGACCACCTTCAGGGTAATATTTGCGGCTTCTGGTTGGTCACATTCAAATTTCTGAACAAGCCCTGGAACACGCCCAGCCCGCTTTCGGCCAGTGGCGCCGCCTCATTTGTCTCTCATACTTCCCAACGAATGGCCAAACTCTCTACATTTACGGCTCTGCTGTGGCAGTTATGGCTCTAGTATGGCACTACTTCGGTGCTCCTGTGTCGGACCAGAGAAAAGCCAAACTTTGGCACGTCCCAAATACTCAAATTAGGTGTTGCTCTGCCAGTTATGGCTCTAGTATGGCACTACTTCGGCACTCCTGTGGCGGACCAGAGAAAAGTCAAACTTTAACATGTCCAAAATACTGAAATTAGGCAGTGCTCTGGCAGTTATGTCTCTAGTATGGCACTACTTCGGCACTCCTGTGGCGGACCGGAGAAAAGCCAAATTTTGGCACGTCTCAAATACCGAAATTAGGCGTTGCTTTGGCAGTTATGGTTGAAGTATGGCACCAACTTTGGCGCTTCTCTGGCGGACCAGAGAAACCCCAAATCTTGGCATGCCCCGAATTCTCAGATTAGGATTTCTGTGGCAGTTAGGGCTCAAGTATGGCACCAACTTTGGCACTCCTCTTGCGTACCAGAGAAGAGTCAAACTTTGGCATCCCCTATGATCGCCCAACTAAGGCTATAGTTAGGCACCGTACTTTGGCACTGATGAGTGCCATGGTGCGAAAACCTAACTGCGCATAATTTGGGCCCTTATGTTTGCCAGATCTTTGCCGAAGTTGGGCGTTCCTCTGGCGTGCTACCTGGGATGTAATCGACGAAAAGAGCTGCTTGAAGCTCTGTACTTTTTTCACCTATTACGTCCAACCTGATTACATTTTTTTGTGATTATATTTCTGTTACGTTACTAGAGCCTCGCACACTAACTCCCGAGTGTGTGATGCAAAAATAAAATGAGATACCCAGAAACCCGTTACAGGTGCCCTGAAGTCGCTGACGCAAATTTTGAGGAATGTATTTGGAAAAGTATTTGGAGGAGACCAAATACCTTTGGTTGTATTTGTATCTTCTACTTAAATGCTTTTTTGGGAATGTAATTAGGTTTGTAATTAAAATATATTTTTGACGAAGTATTTTGTATTTGTATTTCGATACATATTTCTATGTATTTTGCCCATCCCTGTTTAGAGCGAAGCAACGCTTCTCAAAAAATTAAAGTGTTTTTTTATTGCGGGACTGAGGTCAATATATATTTTTGAGGCAAATCAAAATACTGACACCGACACGCCTGTTCGATTTTGCAATTAAATCACCATCATAATGTTTCTGCACCTCAAAACGTATGCTCGAGAAAAATATTATTGTGGTCTGTAAGAGTCTATATCACAGACTGGAAGAAAACAAATTGTGAAAACCTTAAATGTCACAAACATCTAAGTGCAGCTGTACTGTTCCTTCTGTCATATTTGACCTTTTTTTCTTATTTCTCTGAAGTCAGGGAGCTGCCCTATGTCACACGCTTTCGTTATGTTGTCATTTATATTTTTTGCACCCAATATAAGCGCCGGCAGAGCGCTATTTACTCAAAAAGAAGAAAACTACGGCCGCCGCAATGAGCACGACTTTGCACATTTTCATCTTTGCCGCGATTATGCTGTTCATCATTTCTGAAGGTATGGTATTAATTTCTTTTTATTTTTATCTGTTTGGAGACGCAGAATACACTGTAAAATTGAAGACTTGCTAAGCTGCAGTAACGTATCTCTTGACTAAGATAATATATATGTATAAAATATATATTCTAGAACGCAAATTCCTAACTGAAATCCTAAGGAATTTTTTTTTATTTAAACGTTCAGAGCAGACCTATTACGAAATACAAAACCGCGTATCATAAATCCTAATTTGCACCTTTGCCTCAAGGTGTGATATAGCGAAAACTTAAATTAGGTCAAGTACCGTCAGTGTGAGTGGAAAAATTAGATTCTAAATTGCAATATGACTTCTGTTTTATATGGATTAAGCTCATTCTCTTAAGTTGTGAAACAAAAATTCCTATTGAACTATTCTTGCGCTTGGTGCGTCCATCGGGGATCGTTTCACTTCATGCATTTCTGTTTGCTTGGTCATTAAAATCTGGGTGCTAAAAGCCGCAGTTTAAATTACTTCACGTAGAAACTAAAGTGAACATGGACTAAACGATACCGTTGCCTCATCTACAGGTGCTGGTGATAAACCACCTAAAAAAAAGAGCCACCAAAAGACCCCCCGTCCGGTAAACAACTTTCAATAATAATGGTGTAATGCGCCAAAAACAGCGGACACAAGAAAGAAATCAGACATACAGGCGCCTTTTTTTTCTGATTTCTCTCTTGTGTCCGCTGTTTTTTGCGTCTTAAACCATGATTTCCAACATTGACCAACTAGCCCAACTATGAGTTTGTCCTATTGTAGTTTCGTTTTAGAAAATTAATAAATGCAATTATAAGAGCTAAAAAATCTCCCACCAAAGAAGGAAATGATATTATGCGTTTCATATTTCCTCTGTCAAGATTTATTTTCGGTTAACCTGCATAGAAATACAAAAATCAGTAATTAGAACTCCTACAATAAAAGCTCGCGCTAAAGGCAGTTTGAACTTTAGATTTATTGCAGCAACCGACTATACATCTTATAAAACAATGCTGCAGGACACGTTGATTGTCGCGTTCGTGCGTTTCCAGGGAGAATTTTTCAGCTTGTAGCAGTTTTACGTTTGTGGTGTTGCTTTCTGTAAATGCACGAATCGTGTAGACACCATTCCGTTAAAAAAAAACAAAAAAACAGCCCAGTGTTAAACTATAACAGTGCAGTGGTGCGTGACATCCATTATGGCAAACGGGGGAGTACGCACCGAATGCACCAACATATATAGACCTTTCAAAAAAAGGGCTCCAGGCCGGTTCTATTTTCAGTGTTTGGGAGTATGGCCAGTGATTTGCTCAATTTCTGAGCAACGAACATGCGCGTGAAGGGCTGAGGAGATCGCACGCTGAATTGAGCACTTGTAAACGTTGCAATAATGTAAATTCGAGAACAACGTTTTCCGGAATTACAGGAGCGAAGATGACGCGTGTTCAGCATTAATGGTAAAGCCCCTCTGTCTTTGAAAATGTTCCGCCATTCAGTATTTTGGAAATACTCGAGACACATGCGCGCGCCATTTCTGGGGTGATTATGGTGTCCGAAATCTAACACAATGCTGTGTTGTGCTGCCCTGATCTTGCCAAACGCTGCACGTTACATGTGTCTCTTGCAGCGACGCACCTAGCTCTACTTTTAAAAATGAAGGGGACATAATTAATGGACGCTGAGTGTGCGTGAGCACATGGGTTCCTAGTATTTGCTTCATCGCTAGAAACCGTTCCACCAAAGTGGTAGCTGCCAGAAGGCATTTTAACAAATGGAATGTGCGGGCTGAAATGGACAGAAAGGTAGATATAAAAGCGCGCGCGGACGCCAGAGCACTGACCGGGATGTTTATTGTGATTAGCAATGCTTGCTGCCTTTGGTTCTACTCGCTGTTTAAAAGCGTTCAAACGCGAACGCCAAACAACGGATGCAGGCATTCTGCGTTCGAACGCGTTTGAAGATCATGTGGACACAAAGGCAGCTAGCTTTCTGTTTACGCATCAATCATTTCAACCAAAGCTTCGGTCATCAGAGCCTCGGACGCGAAAGATCAGCGCCAGCTGGTTACACTAGCCGATTAGGCGAGCAAGGCCAATGGGACCCCGGACATAGGGACCCCCTCCCCCGGGTGAACACCCGAAGTCGTCCTTGATGATCTCAATATACTATATTCTTTATCTTGGTGTTCTAACGGCCCGCGCGCTCTCATTTACTCCCTTAGGTTCCACCCATATAAAAAACAGTGTTACTTTTTTCCGCGGTTATCGTTTGAGAACATGAGGTGTCGAAATTGAGTCGATGCACACGACTATATAGTTACTGCCAGCCTGCGAAACTCAGGATATGGTGAGTCCCGAATTTATTATTATCGATCAGCAGCGAATGATTGGGCATGCCCGATAACAACTACGAGCAAAAAAATTACAAATGGAGAATCTTGAACATAACAAGCCCCGACCCGAGTGTTTTAATCTGCCAGTTACTAAAGACCAATAACTAACACCATCCCTTAGAATAAGCTCTGCTTATTTATTATAAAACTCTCATGTCTTATTAGAGCGCAGCTCTTAGGGGCCCGTTCGCGGCTTGAGCGGCGTCGCCGTCGGCGTAACCAAGGTCATCCCAAGGTCACTTGACCCCCGAGGTCATCCCAAGGTCACGTGACTCCAAGGTCACCCCAAGGTCACGTGACCCCTCTCCAAGGGTCACGTGACCCCAAGGTCACGTGACACCCAAAATCACCCAAAGGTCACGTGACCCCCAAGGTCACGTGACACCCAAGGTCACGTGGCTCCCCATCACGTGACACCCAGGGTCACGTGACCCACGATGACGTCATCAGTGATGTCACTGATGCGTCACCGGCATCCGCATCGTCATCGTCATCATCAGTGATGACGTCACCGGCATCTGCATCGTCATTGTCATCATCACAGATGACGTCATCAGTGACGTCTGATGACGTCACCGGCATCCGCATCGTCATCGTCATCATCACTGATGATGTCACTGGCATCCGCATCGTCATCGTCATCGTCGCTGATGACGTCATCAGTGACGTCACTGATGACGTCACCGGCTTCTGCATCGCCATCGTCATCATCACTGATGACGTCACCGGCTTCCGCATCGTCATCGTCATCATCACTGATGACGTCATCGATATCCGCATCGTCATCGTTACTGATGACGTCATTGGCATCGGCATCGCCACGTGCCCCCCTAGGTCCGTGACCCCCACCCAAGGTCACTTGACCCCCCTCAGTACCCTTCCCTCTTCCTCCTCAAGAGCTGCACCCTAATTGGGCGTTACAGGGAGTTGTAAACGGCTTTCACTTTTAGAGCGCAGCTCTTAGGGGCCCGTTTCCGGCTTAAGCGGCGTCGGCGTCGCCGTCGGCGTCGGCGTAACCGCGAGGTCACGTGACCCCCCCCTCGAGGTCACGTGACCCACCCAGGTCACGTGACACCCCTAGGTCACGTGACCCCCGAGGTCACGTGACCCCCTTAGGTGACGACCCCAGAAGTCACGTGACCCCCAGAAGTCACGTGACCCCCTGAAGTCACGTGACCCCCTTAGGTCATGTGATCTCCTTAGGTCACGTGACCCCCTGAGGTCACCTGACCCCTTGAGGTCACGTAACCCCCAGAAGTCACGTGACCCCCTAAGGTCATGCGACCCTTCAGGTCACGTGACCCCCGAGGTAACGTGACCCCCAAAGGTAACGTGAACCCCTGAGGTCACGTGACCCCATGAGGTCACGTGACCTCAGGGGGTCACGTGATCCCCAGAAGTCACCTGACTTCAGGGGGTCACGTGACCTCAAGGGGTCAGGTGACCTAAGGGGTCACGTGACCTAAGGAGATCACGTGACCTAAGGGGGTCACGTGACCTCAAGGGGGTCACGTGACTTCAGGGGGTCACGTGACTTCTGGAGGTCACGTGACCTCAAGGAGTCACCTGTCCCTCAGTACGCTTCCATCTTCCTCCTCAAGAGCTGCGCTCTAACCGGCATTACAGGGAATTGTAAACGGCTTTCATTTTTAGAGCGCAGCTCTTAGGGGCCCGTTCCCGGCTTGAGCGGCGTCGGCGTAACCAAGGTCACCCAAAGGTCACGTGACCCGCCAAGGTCATCCCAAGGTCACCCTAAGGTCACGTGACCCCCCCCCGAGGTCACGTGACCCCTCCTTCAAGGTCACGTGAACCCCCTCCCCGAAGTCACGTGACACCCCCGAGGTCACGTGACCCCCCCAAGGTCACGTGACCCCCCACCGAGGTCACGTGACCTCCCCGATGACGTCATCGTCACTGATGACGTCACCGGCATCCGCATCGTCATCATCATCATCACTGGTGACGTCACCAGTGACGTCACTGATGACGTCACCGGCATCCTCATTGTCATCATCACTGATGACGTCCCCGGCATCCGCATCGTCATCGCCATCATCGCTGATGACGTCATCAGTGACGTCACTGATGACGTCACCGGCATCCTCATTGTCATCGTCATCATCACGGATGATGATGACGATGAGGATGCCGGTGACGTCATCATCACTGATGACGTCCCCGGCATCCGCATCGTCATCGCCATCATCACTGATGTCATCAGTGACGTCACTGATGACGTCACCGGCATCCTCATCGTCATCATCATCATCAATGATGACGTCCCCGGCATCCGCATCGTCATCGCCATCATCACTGATGACGTCATCAGTGACGTCACCGGCATCCGCATCGTCATCGTCATCATCACGGATGACGTCATCAGTGACGTCACTGATGACGTCATCGGAACCCGCATCGTCATCGTCACTGATGACGTCAGCGGTGACGTCACTGATGGCATCATCGGCATCGTCACGTGACCCCCCAAGGTCACGTAACCCCCCAGGTCACGTGACCCCCAGGTCACTTGACCCCCCCCCCCCCCAGTACCCTTCCCTCCTTCTCCTCAAGAGCTGCGCTCTAATTCGGTGTTACAGGGGGTTCGTAAACGGCTTTCACTTTTAGAGCGCAGCTCTTAGGGGCCCGTTCCCGGCTTGAGCGGCGTCGGTGTCGCCGTCGCCGTCGGCGTCGCCGTCGCCGTCGGCGTTACCAAGGTCATCCCAAGGTCACGTGACCCCCAAGGTCACGTGACCCCTCCAGGTCACGTGACCCCTGCCAAGGTCATCTCAAGGTCACGTGGGGTCATCTTGGGATCACGTGACCCCTAGGTCACGTGACCCCTCAAGGTCACGTGACCCCTAACAAAGTCAGTTCAAGGTCACGTGACCCCACGTGACACTTTAAAGGTCACGTGACCCCCAAGTCACGTGACCCCTCTGAGGTCACGTGACCCCGAGGTCACGTGGTCTCCTCCCCAAGGTCACGGACCCCTCTGAGGTCACGTGACCCCCGAGGTCACGTGGTCTTCTCCCCAAGGTCACGTGACCCCTCCCAAGGTCATCTCAAGGTCACGTGACCCCAAGGTGACCCCCACGTGACCCCCCAAGGTCACGTGACCCCTCCAGGTCACGTGACCCCCTGAGGTCACGTGGGGGTCACCTTGGGGGTCCCGTGACCTTGAGGTGGCCCCCATGTGACACCCAAGGTCACGTGACCCCGAGGTCACGCCTCCCCGAGGTCACGTGACCCCCCTCCCCGAAGTCACGTGACACCCCCCCCCCCCGAGGTCACGTGACCCCCCCCCCGGAGCATAATAAAGAATGAGGGGAGGAGGAGGAGGAGGGGTCTACCCTCCCCTCAGTACCCTTCCCTCCTCCTCCTCAAGAGCTGCGCTCCAATTCGGCGTTACAGGGATTTGTAAACGGCTTTAACTTTTTTTTTTTAGAGCGCAGCTCTTACGGGCCCGTTCCCGGCTTGAGCGGCGTCGCCGTCGGCGTAACCTCCCCGATGACATCGTCACTGATGACGTCACCGGCGTCCGCATCGTCATCATCACTGATGACGTCATCAGTGACGTCACTCATTACCTCACCGGCATCCGCATCGTCATCATCGCTGATGATGTCATCAGTGACGTCACTGATGACATCACCGACATCCGCATCGTCATCGTCATCATCACCGATGACGTCATCAGTGACGTCACTGGTTACCTCACCGGCATCCGCATCGTCATTGTCATAATCGCTGATGATGTCATCAGTGACGTCACTGATGACGTCACCGGCATACGCATTGTCATCGTCATCATCAGTGATGACGTCATCAATGATGTTACTGATGACGTCACCGGCATCCGCATCGTCATCATCATCATCATCACTGATGACGTCATCAGTGACGTCACTGATTACCTCACCGGCATCCGCATCGTCATCGTCATCATCGCTGATGATGTCATCAGTGACGTCACTGATGACGTCACCGGCATCCGCATCGCCATCGTCGTCATTACTGATGACGTCATCAGCGACGTCACTGATTACCTCACCGGCATCCGCATCGTCATGTCATCATCGCTGATGACGTCATCAGTGACGCCACTGACTACCTCACCAGCATCCGCATCGTCATCGTCATCATCACTGATGGCGTCATCAGTGACGTCACTGATTACCTCACCGGCATCCGCATCGTCATCATCACCGATGACGTCATCAGTGACGTCACTGATTACCTCACCGGCATCCGCATCGTCATCGTCATCATCACTGATGACGTCATCAGTGACCTCACTGATGACGTCACCGGCATCCGCATCGTCATCGTCATCATCACTGATGACGTCATCAGTGACCTCACTGATGACGTCACCGGCATCCGCATCGTCATCGTCATCATCACTGATGACGTCATCAGTGACATCACTGATTACCTCACCGGCATCCGCATCGTCATCGTCCATCGCTGATGACGTCATCAGTGACGTCACTGATTACCTCACCGGCATCCGCATCGTCATGGTCATCATCGCGATTGACGTCATCAGTGACGTCACTGATGACGTCACCGGCATCCGCATCGTCATCGTCATCGTCGTTGATGACGTCATCGGAGTCCGCATCGTCATCGTCACTGATGATGTCATCAGTGACGTCACTGATGACAGCATCGGCATCGTCACGTGACCCCCAAGGTCACGTGACCCCCCCAGGTCACTTCACCCACACCCCCAGTACCCTTCCCTCCTCCTCCTCCTCAAGAGCTGCGCTCTAATTCGGTGTTACAGGGAGTTGTAAACGGCTTTCACTTTTTTCTTGAAAACATTCTATTGCATCACAATGCCGCACAAGTTTTATATTTTTGGTATTTTTTATCACATAAGCAATTTACAAATGCACTAAAATTACCCATTAAGGATAAAAACCCATGACTGATAGCTGCGAAGTTCTTCAGTACTTATTTAGCTCTAGCGCACTTTACTCCGTCAATTCGAATATAACAACTGACTAACCGGAAAATATTTAAAAAATGCGGGAAAGAAAGAATCAAAACAGGGGTGCTCGAAGTTCACGCACGACCGGACAAAGTTACCACATGGTTCTGCTCGTGTCCAAAATAACAAACACAGCCAAAGTTACCTTTGCGCGAACGCTCCACGTCATTCCCCCGTCCGCCTGTTCGTGTCGCCTGTCCGTGTCGTATTTGAGTCTTTTTTCGCCCTGTTTTGTTCGCGCCTTTTAACGTGTTAACCAGTCGACAGGCTATGCTTGCAACTCTCCATGTCGATTTTCAAGAATTTATGAGTACGTATGCATAGCTTCGTCATGCACTCAGTGTATATCCGAGCGCGTGCCCCCTTTACCCGAGACAAAGACGGCATTGTGAATCCACCACAACAAGAATTAGGCGAGGCTGTAAAGCTATAACACACCTGTAGAGGAAGAAAACCACAAAAAAGGATTATATGCCCCAAAGAACACGATTGCGAACGGAGGGAGCGGAAAGGCGAACGAGACACAGGGCTTTTACGACTCGGAAGAGGCGTGCAAAAACTGGTGAACCGTCGATATGCTTGGGAAGGACGCCAGGATAGCAAACGACACATGTAAGCAGACGGCGAGCAAGTGTTCTAAAATGCGTCTTCGGCGCATTGTAAAATAACAAGGAGTACGGCAATCAATGCACGACAGAGAGAACGCACCGAGATCGCTCGGTGACGAGGCAGCCAAGCCCACGCCGTCATTGGTTGTGGTAGGGAATAAACGAAAGCACGTGGGCAAGTTTGGGGGAAAAACAAACGCACGAGGTAAGCAAAAAGCAGACGATCGTGCAAACACTTTAGCAAAAAAAAAAAAAAAACTTGCATAGCGTAAGGAAAGTTGCGAGGCATGAAAGTAATGTGCAAAATTAATATGTTACATTTTTTCAGAAAGATGAATATCAAATTTTCAACAAGTTGTGCATTGAAGAACACAATAAATACAGAAAGAGACATCATGTTCCACCTTTGAAGAGCGACTCAACGGTAAAGTGTACACGTTATTTACAGTACCGGGCTATAGATCTGTGTTAATGTTTGTTTTTCTTTACATTTTTAAATTTGTTTGAATGAAATAATGCAGATAACCGAGCTAACGAAACCACTTAAGGAAAAGCTTAGATTTTGGCCAGTTGATTCATTCAGATTAACTTACACTCCAGTTAAATGTAATTTTTACTTGCGCTGTGCCCCCCTGCCATATTGTATTTCCACTGCGTTACGGCTGAAACATTGCATGTTAGCAGTCACGCAACGGTAGCGACATGGCTCATCTACGATGCAGAGAAATTGGCCTTTCTACTCTTGAAGTGTAGGGGCTTATCATAAAAAATATTTCGTAAAGGGTAATTGTTCTCTTTTATGAAAAACAACGCTATTAGCCGGGCGTAAATCACTAGTGTTACCAATAAAAATGTGAGTAACGCAATATTATAATTCAACTAAATATTCCTTCTAGTCCCAGATTTTCTTTCAATGCATGTTTCTCTGGCGGCTACTAGGAACCATACCAAGTGTTCAACATTTATCTATGTAAGCGAGCGAAATATATAGTCATCCGGTTCGGTTTAAAGATACATTTTTTCCTGTTTTTGGTTAGAGTTAGTATTTGGTTAGACGACCTGAGTACAAGTACGTACAACTTCGGCAGCTTGTATACTGCTCGATGAAAATACAACTTAAAAATCAATCATACATGCCTAACATAACCTAGACCCTGCGGATGGTTGAGACGAAACGTGTAGGTCCAAACGCGCAAAATGTCTAGGTCCGTCAGTCCCTAACCGCTAAACGATCCTGGAAAAAACAAACGAAAAAACGGTGATCGGTTCCAGGGGTCGCACCCCGGTCATCGGGAGCCGAGTGCGCTGCTGATTGAGCTACGGGCTCTGTACGCCCGAACGGGAGGAGCAGAAAGAGATGGCTTGAGAAAGCGCTATGAGCGGAGAGAGTTTTGAAAAGGCAAGAAAGAGAGGAGCAGAAACTGGTCGTGTAGAAAGAGCGCGCGGAACGAGGGGGGGGCGGGGGGGGGGGGGGGGGGGGGAAGGACAGAAAAGCCCGCTTTCCTTCTTTTGGTGACCCATAAAATTCGGCATGAGCATTTCGTATCCTTCTGGTGCTGATGGAAGGCGATCGCAGCCTCAAGAAAAGACAGTGGTTTCACGTAATCATTAAAAAAAAATCACTGCCCTAGGCGCCACCTGTACTAAGAGCACGACCAACCCTAGAAAGATTAAGGATCATCCTGCTCTAGGCACCGCCCACCCTATAGCCACCGCGTTTAAACGCGATTGACAGAATCGCAAAGATGCCGCATATTTTTTCAAATATTCTTCATAGAAATAATTCTGAATATTTTGAATTTGCAGCGGTAATAGCCACATAAGGGTTATTCCCCGGGAACAAATAATGCAACTAAAGAGTAAAATAGGGCCCACATAAATATTTGAAGTTTAGATAATCAAAACCAACATTGTGGCTATACTTTGTCTCATCCTACGATTGACCAAAGGCCAAAACCAGGGGCCGCCAGGTCCAATCAAGTTCCACGCTGAACTATGACATGCTTAACATTGATTAGGGGCGGTTAAATCACGCTCAGAATCCAAAAGCGCTGCGTCATTTCTATAGTTTCGACACCGAAAAGAGTTTATGTCGTGGCTTTCTTTGCAATGTACAATCGTTGAGTCACTCAGTGCTATTCGATTAGAACCACTGTCCGCACATCCCCATCAGTGATCCGAGACGCGACCATCAATTCTTGTATTGACGCAAAATACCTCAGAATGTTTTAGTGACTTGTGATTGGATCTGGCAGTCCGCAGCTGTAGTCTTTACTCCATTGTAGGGTGAGACGAAGTGTAGTAAGCCCCCCGAAAGGCGACTTTTCGCCCATACAAGAGAGGACCATTACTTGTGTGAAGATTGCGACGTAGCTCCGCCCCCGGCTCATCGGCGGTGGCGGTGGTTGGGAATGCAACATTTACACCGTATAACTTCTTGGTTTGTTAAAGCGTGGCTGGTAGTTGCCCGTTGAACAAAATAAAAGAACGCGTCCTTTGAAATATCTTAGAAACTCAAAAACGAAAATAACCCAGAATATTTTTTATTGGATTGAAAAAAAAAAAACGTTTATCGATCCGCCAATATTTATTGAACACAAGCCGCTTTCCAAAAAATATAGCCTGTAAAAAACAAAATATATATATATATATATTTTTGCAGATCACAACGCGAAGCACGAAGGCTACATAACTATGACAGCATGTGGCCAAATATATGGATCCCAAATGTAGTTTAAATATTAAGACCTATTTTCATTTTAATGTTCTTGAATCATTTTGAGTGTTTTCAGGGGAATTAGTTTTGAATGCGCTCTGTGTCAAAGTTAACCATGTTAAATCAGTTTGAGACGTCCTCCTCTCTATTTTCTGTCTCGTCTACGTTTTGATGTTTCTTTTCTACCCAGTCTCAGGTTAATTCAACATGGTTAATATTCATCAGCTCACCTGCACCATTACCATAATTTTAAATTAGAGTTCATTTCGTGTGCAAGTCACAGTGGAAAGGCGCCAATGCAGCTTCTTTTCTGCTTGTTGTTTTCCGAATAGTCAGGGGAATATGTAAGTTGGTATAGATGGTATTTGTAGATGTTCAGAAAAGCAAAACAAGCAACTTACTTTGTGGATTCTAAAGCTTTTTAAAACTTCTAAGTACCGCTTACTAAAGCTCTCCTAGGTAGTACTGAGGTTACTATAACCTTAAGACATTAAACTTAGGGGTAGAAATATTACTAAATCATATTACTGGCTTTATCTGTTTAAGCATTTACCTAATGAAGTAAATTGCTGAGCTATAGCCCAGACTTACTTGATTAGGTATTAATGTCACGACTATAGTCGTCACATTATAACCAGCAAATAAAACAGCGCAAAAGGTGCAAGGACAAGGATGCAGTTTATAGACTCTCGTTTTTGTATAATTTGCGCAATATTATTTTTGCATTTGCGGACAATATAAAAAAAAAAAAACGGACGAATGCGTTACTCAGAAAGTTTGCGGCGCTATCCATCAGATTAAAGCGCAATCAATATTGTGCGTAAACACGAAATGCGCACGGCCGCGAAACTGAAGTTATCAGTCAGAGGGCAGGATGATTCCGTGTGTCCTTGCAAAGTCCACCCAAGATATGTGTTCAGAAGCATCATTGATAGATCTTCGATTCAGATGAATTCTTCCTTGACAATCTTTCATAGCTGATAGACGTCAATTAGTAAGCTGATATAGCACGCATTGTGTGTCTTTAGTTAAAGTATGCGTTATCGGTTTTTTTTTTTGTTATTGAAGGTGTTGCACAAACCCGTGGTCTATCGGCAGATACTCGATGTCCTTGCATATCTGTGGCACCTCTACCACTTCTGCCACGCACTCTGTAAGGTGCAATTGGCTCTTGAGTCTTATATGAAACAACCTCCTTTCTTGCTCCGGCCGCTGGGCTGACCCGAAGAAGTCGATGTAGAGTGTGACCTCCGCGAGTACTCTCATTTTGCAGCGACTAGAAACGTTTCCACGAAGGAGTAAATGCATGTTGGCTTCCGCTATCCCTTATTCATTTTGCATAGGACTAGATTTCCTTGTCGGGAGCCATGACATGAATGCCTGTACATGGATCTGTCTTTTTTTATTACTTTCCTTTCCGCTGAAAAGCATGCAGCGCCTTGGTATCACGTCGGCATCATTCTTTAGTTTTCCTTTGTTGGAGTGACACATAGGTCCCTCGTGTCTTCCGCTGTATATACCGCACAAAATACGGCGTCTGCATTATCGTGGTTTTTGAGCTCGCATAATGAACTTGTAACAACGCCTGTCTTCTCATAGTTTCTTTATTTCTTTTAATAATTCGGCGGTGACCCACACCTCTGTTTTATGTGTACGCGAGCCGCAGAAAAAGCAATATGTTTCAGATATGCTTACTCCACTTTGGAGCACTACTACTGCTGGGTCTGCGACTCATTCTGCAATGGGTTCGGGAGACCGACATCGGTTTTCGGTGAATTGGTTCGAACCATAATTTTTTCTTTCATTATACCTCAATATTTAAAAACTCCAAACATTTCGCCACGTGTGCGCTCCCTGATTTCGCTGTAGAAGACGTACTTTGGCCGCCGAAGCTCATTTTACCATAGTAATCCGTAGCGATGTTCGCCAGAAACTTCAGCAGCATCTCGTGCATCATGGAGGAGTAAAAAACATAGTCACTTCCTAGACATTTGTACAGTGCCCAGTGTGTTTCGATAGTTGAAGGTGTCGCTAATGAACCTGGCCTTCGGTAGACACCTTGGCTTTGCTAGGTGGTCCTGTACTATTTGGAGTCGCGAAATAGTTCCTTTAAGAATTCTACTGTGTCGGAGAAGCAGGAGTTTTTAATTTGAATACCGGCGATAGCCTTAGAAGCCTTTCCGGTGAGAAGTGTTCATAGGTACTGGAACTTGTACCCGTTTCCTACAGGCACTTTGTTCGTGGACGGTGTTGGTAAATATGTCCTAGAACAAATACCACTGTCCGCTGCGCCCGTCAAACGTCAGCACCTCTTGCTTAGGTATCTAAATTTATCTGACACTTACTAGACACCGTAGCCAGTGTTTTCCATTTATTTATGAACGCGAGTGGATATATATATTACTCCGGTTTACTTTAAAATGATGTTTCGTTTTTGTTCCTGTTTTCGATTAGGGCTCGGGTTCGGTTAGACAACTTGATTACAAGTACGTATCACTTCGGCAGCTTGCATACTGGTCTATAAAGCTGAAATAAAAAAAAATAATTATGCATGCCTCACATAACCTAGACCCTGCAGATGACTGAGGGGAAATGTGTAGTTTGGAAAGCGCGGAACGTGTAGGTCCGTCTGTCCGTAACCCCTAAACGATGTTGAAAAATAAACGGTAATCGGTGCCAGTAATCAAACTGCGGTCACTGGCGTAGAAGCCGAGTGCGCTGCTGACTGAGCTACGCGCCCAGCCCGCCCGAACGGGAGGAGCAGAAGCAGGTGGTCTGAGAAATGGCAAGTAGGGGAGAGGGTTTTGAAAGGGCAAGAAAGAGAGAAGGAGAAACAGGTTGTGTAGAAAAAGCGCGCGGAAAGAGAGTAAAAAAGGCAAGAAATGCCCCCCCCCCCCCCCCCCCCCCCCGCTTTTGGTGACCCATAAAATTCTGCGCAAAGACTTTGTATCGTGTGGTGCTGAGGGGAGACGTGCGCAGCTTCACGAAAGAAATGGTTTGACGGAATTATTTTTATACAAATTCCTGCTTTAGGCGCCACATGTACTAAGAGCACCGCTAACACTAAAAAGACTAAGGATCATCCTGCCCTAGGCACCACCCACCCTATAGCCACCGCATTTAAGCGCGTTGGCAGAATGGCCAAAATGCAAGCAATTTTTTTCTCCAAATATTACTAGAACTTTTAGTCGACGACTGCGTTCGGTGACTGATCACCTGACTATATCACGCACCGCGCACACTGTCACTATCCCACTATCTCTATGCGACGAGCAATAAACAGTTTTCCTCACTCTGACTGGAGGTAGTCAGTGGGTAGAAGCAATGGTAGCTAGCATTGTATGTACAAAGTATCCTTCCGATCAACGCTCGGCGACGTTACGTCACTAAAACACGTTAGGCAAGAAGGTAGAAGAGCTTACTGGGTGTATATTCTTAGGACGCCATTTTAATACATTCGTAGGTGTCAAACTATAGGTAGATATGCGTGAGAGTAATAATAGAAACATTACAGTGATCATGTCATCACCAACAACGTCTGTCTTATTTATCTCTGCTGGTTTAGCTGTACCTGAAGGCTCGAGCCTGGGCAAACCGTCTTGCAAGAACAGGTGACGTTCGACATGAAACGCTCAGAGGCATAGGAGAAAATATATATTGGATGACCTTAGCCCAGCAGCCATATTCTCAGTATGGTAAGTTTCATTGAAGCACTGACAATAATAAACTTTTAAACTGTAGCTACGTGACTTCGCTACCCGTTAATCAGCCAGAACTAAAGTATGGCAATGCTAGCTGGATACGACTTTATAAAGGTAGAATTGGGGTTTTTTAGATTTTATTTATTATAAGCCCGCGTATATTTTAGGGTCAGGCTATATTATCAGTATATTTCTGAACTCACGAACTGCCTAGTTTTCAGCCTAACACCTTATTTACATTCCGGGTATCTAATCTGAGAGAGGCACAAATAATTCTGCCACAAGATTTGTTTCCATGAGATATTTAGAAGCCGCAATACTCTATCCCCTTTCTCTTGGTATAAACCATACACAAAAAGTATACTAATTGTGCACTTAATGCACTAACTGAAAACAAATAAGTATCTAACAAATGTACTGATAGTAGGGTAGGAACACACTTTTTGAGCAGCTGTAATACGACAAAAATACGCATTTAGCTGTGTGATGTATATTAAAAGCACACTTGTAGTAAACCTATAGCAGGGGAAGAAATATACTTTATGTGTACTTCGCGTGGGCTATATGTATACCTTTTTCGTGTAGCGTAATCTACACGGTGAGACCAAGCGGGAACGGAACATCGCCGCCTGCTCCGGAAGATCACGATCACGCAGAAGGCGGTGATGATTCGCTTCCTCAGTGACGCCTGGTCCCAGGTGAACTCAAAAGTAAATTAGGCCTTACTGGAACTCTAAAGTCACTGGATCGTGGGCAAGTAGCGCCATTGGCTTCCCTGCCTTCTAGACGGAAACAAGCAGATACTAACAAACAGACTATACCAAACCTTGCAAGGTGATTCGACGATCGGTATCAGTTGCCACGGCAATCGCCATTGCGGTTCAATTAAATCTTCGAAGCTTCGAAAGGGTCACTCTGAACCAGTCGCACCAAAATCGTTATGGAGCATCATCATAGTACTGAAAGCGTTCCTTGCAAATATAAGCGTCTTTGGCGCTAAGCATGCATTCCACCTATTAATCATGCTTATTTCCACATATCTCTTACAATGGTATTTTTTTTACTTGCTCATTTAAAGACAGGAAAACTATTTCTCAATGCCACCAGCCTAGCACCGACAGGGCAGGTGGTGGTGGTGTGAAGATGTTCGGTTATTTCACTGTTGTGCAGATAACAAGATGGTGATTACGGGCTTTTTGGCGCAAAAGCTTCGAAAATCCATTCTGCGCGACACTATGTTAAATGTTCATCTATTGTCTAGGGTATGCGATGTGACATTAAAAATTTGGTACTACAACTGGTGTAAAAGGCCAGTGTCTGAAATAAAACGGAACGCACGTTCAAATAAGATCAGGGGGCCCTATCCCAGAAAACGAGCAGGATGGAATGGTATGTGGTACCTAAATGTTCGGAAAAAAATATTCCGTCGATTGTCGTCCAGTGCGGGACAAACCCATAAAAATTCAAAATGATTACAGTGTCTCCCCAAAGTAGGCAGCGGCGTGGGTCTTCTCTACAAAGGAGACATCTATGAGTCAGATGGAAATGACGTATGCGGAGCGGGCATAGTAATACCTCATAGAATCGGTTAATTGAAGAAGAACTCTCTAACAATCAAATAATAGGCCTATTAAAGTGAAGTTTATTATCACAATTTTTGTCCCATTCCGCCTGCTATATATAGGAAATTACTGCCTTTACGATATGGCTTATGTCCTGGTAAGGTAACGAGGTTGGTAACTGCAGCAGATTTCTAGAGGAGAAAGCAAGCCTATCGGATTCATTACACGCTATACTCATGTAGCTTGTACGCAGCGAAACATTGTGTGGTATCCATGATGCAGTGCCCAGTTAACCTTTAACTGCACAAGCTGCACAAGCGTATTCCTGATGTCTTTGAGAGAGCAGATTGCAGTCACCATACTCTGCGGGTCTAGTAAAAAAATTAACCTCGCTAATCTCTTCAATATGTTGTGTTCAACCGTCAACGGCACTGCGTAAAGGTCCGAGATAAAAATGCTGGTGATGGAATTAAGGCGCTTCATTCTAGTAAACTTCCCAGGGGGCATAGCGCATTTGGCGAAGGATTTAACTTTGGAATCATCAGTATAAAAATGTGTAAAGTCAGAATGTCGGAGAGCGCAGCTCTTAGGCGGCAGTTTCCGTGTTGAACGGCGTCACCGTCGCCGTCGGCGTAACCGCGCTTTTCATTATGGAACGTTTCCCATAACGACGTCACATGTGATGTCACGTGTGACGTCACGAGGGAGGAGTAGGAGAAGGGAATGTTTTCCGCTAAATTGAATGCAAAAAAAATCTCCGCTAGATTTAGCGGAAATGTTTCCCTGCTAAATTTAGTGAAAAATGTCCCGGCTAAATTTAGCGGAAAATATTATCCGCTAAATTTAGCGGAAAAAATTCCCCGCTAGATTTAGTGGAAACATTTGCCCGCTAAGTTTAGTGGAAAAAATTCTCTATAAATCTACAGGAAAAATATTCTCGCTAAATTTATGCGCAAAAATTACAAGTTAGATTTATCAGAAAATTTCACCGCTAAATTTAGCGTAAAAAAATTCATGCTAAATTTCGAGGAAAAATTTCCGTGCTAAAATTAGCGAGGAATGTCTTTTTGCTACATTTAGCAGAAAAAACTTCTCCGATTACTGTCACATGTTCAAAGCCCAGGAGGGCGGATCCAAACCCAAATCCGACCAATCACAGCACAGCAGGGCGGGGCCAAGCCCAATCCGACCAATCACAGAGCAGTAGGACGGGGCCTCTCCCTCTCTCTCATCGCAGTGACCAATGACAGGCCGTTCGCATGGATGGCCCCGCCCACAGGGCATTAGCCAGTGACCCATCGGAGCTCATCGAAGTCCCGCCCTCGAGTCACGTACGCGGTATAGGTGTGAGGTCACGTACGCGACATTTAGCCTGTAATCACCAGGTGTTAACAGCCGATGTTATCAGTCACGTACGCGACGCGTGTCAGAAGCGTGGGAAAGACGCGTATCAGAGATGTCGTCACCACGGCTCCCATCACGTGATGTTAACCACGTGATTTTCCCCGGGTTCGAGTTGCGTCCGACAGAGGAAGCTCACGTGATGTCACACAGGATTTCTGTTGAATCCGACAGAGGGCGCTGCGCCGCGCTCACATGACGGTCACGTGACACAACTAAGACGAGTTAAGCGGTCTCGGAAGAATTGTGCTCGTAGCTTAGGGGGTAGGGTGTCGAGCTGCTGTGCCCAAGCTAGAGAAGTCGACTCCCATACGGCCGCAGAGCCTTTTTGAGCGATTAAAATGCATTTACAGCGCAGCGATTCAAATGATGTCACGTGACCATCATGTGACCGCAGCGGAGCGCCCTCTTTCGGATGCCGCACAAACCCTGTGCGACATCACGTGAGCGCCCTCTGTCGGACGCAGCTCGAACCCTGTGACATCACACATTAGACGCCCTGAGCGCCACAATTCAAGTCATATAGCGCCCTCTGTCAGACGAAGCTCGCACCCTGTGACATCACGTGGTTGTTATCAGATGATGACCACAGCTGTCAACACTTGGTCAACCACGCTTGTTGTTTGAGGTCTGAGGTTTGAGGTTTGAGGTGTGAGGTTTGAGGTACGTGACCTCACACCTGTACCGCGTACCTCGGGGGGCGGGCCCGGGCGAGCTCCGATTGGTCACAGGCCAACACCCTATGGGCTGGGCCTCCTCTGTCGGCGACCACCGTGGGCGTGGCCATCAATGCCCACGGCATGACAATGGTCACTGTGATGGGAGAGAGGGAAAGGGCCCCACCCTACTGCGCCGTGATTGGTCCGATTGGGTGTGGCCCCGCCCTCCGGCGCTGTGATTGGTCGCTGTGCAAACTGGTACATGTTTCTACTACTTAAACTGCTCTACTTCATGTTTACAAATTACTCAATCAAAAAGCTTTCTTTTAAATGGAATGTTAATGTCTTAAGTGCTAAATGGGAACTTCCAGTTGTAATTGTCCCAAATGACGCTTGAGCACTTTTTTTTCTTGCTGTTCTTGTTTGTTTGTTTTTGCCTTGTGTTTGCCCGAAGCTCCTTTCGGTGTTTATTGGGGCTAGTAGGTGGAGAGGGGCGTCTTTTAAATCGAAAGTGGTGATTGTGTTTAGAATGAAAGAGGAGAGAGATCATATTGTGTAAGTTTGAAGGAGGATCGATTATAATGCAAATAATTGCAAAGGTGCAAGCGAGCTGGACAGGAATGACGAAAATTAATTGCATCATCTTCATAACCTTAAAATGCACGCCTTTCACCCTTCTTGGTGTTAGACCAATGGAAGCTGATAAAACCTGTTTGCTCTACTGACGTCTAACCCCTGATTGGATCAGTTGGTAGAGCGCGTTACTGAAAATGGAGAGGTCTCGGGTTCGGTACCCGGACCAGGCGGATTTTTACGGTCGCGCAACAGTCACCTAGCTGTGTTTGGAGATTGGTATTTGTCCTTTCTCATATTGTTCACCTTCTCTGGAGAATAGTTTCGAAGATGGATGTTGCTTTATAGCGTCGACCTGTACGGTTTTACATCCGCTTGTTCTGTATGGACTTTGTCCTTTCTGTTGGTGGTGAGACGATGTAAGGATACGCACTAAATAATTGAATTAGCCAAATTTGACATGTCGTGCTGTCTGTTTTCTCCCTCTTCCACGTTTTGATTTTTTAGAGCGCAGCTCTTAGGGGCCCGCTTCCGGCTTGAGCGGCGTCGCCGTCGCCGTCGGCGTCGCCGTAACCGCGAGGTCACGTGACACCCCGAGGTCACGTGACCTCTTGAGGTCACGTGACCCCCTGGTCACGACACCCCCTTGAGGCCACGTGCCCCCCTAAGGTCACGTGACCCCCTGAAGTCACGTGACTTCCGGGGGTCACGTGCAATCAGGTGGGTCACGTGACCTCAAGATGGTCACGTGACACCCCTAGGTCACGTGACCCCCAGAAGTCACGTGACCCCCTGAGGT